CATAACAACAGATGCTGAGGAAATCCAGAAAATCATAAACACATACCTTAAAAATCTGTACTCTGGCCAAGCTCAGTGGCCCATGCCTGTAAACCCAGAACTTGGTGAGGTAGAGGCAGGCAGACCTTTGTGAGTTTGAGGTCAGCCTTATCTACAAAGCAAGTACAGGACAAGGGCTACCTGTCTTGAAAAACAAAACAAGAAAGAAAGAAAGAAAGAAAGAAAGAAAGAAAGAAAGAAAGAAAGAAAGAAAGAAAGAAAGAGAGAGAAAGATAGATAGATAGATATACTCCACCAAACTGGAAACTCTAAAAGAGATGGATAATTTTCTCAATACATACAACTTACCAAAGTTAAATCAAGATCAGATAAGCATTTTAAACAGATCCGTAACCCCTAGTGAAACAGAAGCAGTAACCAAAAATATCCCAAACAAAAGGAGGCCAGGGCCAGATGATTTTAGTGCAAAAATTCTACCAGAATTTCAAAGAAGGAATGCCAACATTCCTCAAAGTATTCCACAAAATAGAAACAGAAAGAGGGGCTAGAGAGATGGCTCAGTGGTTAAGAATATTGTCTGCTCTTCTAGAGGACCTGGGTTCAATTCCCAGCACCCACATAGCAGTTTACAAGTGTCTATAACTTCAGTTCCAAGGGATATGATACCCTCATGCCAACCAATGCACATAAAGTAAAATTAAATAAATTAAAAAAAAGAAAAATACTGCCTAATTCATTTTATGAAGCCATAGTTACCAAAACCACATAAAGACCCAACAAAGAAAAAAAAAATTACAGACCAAATTTTCCCATGACCACAGATGCAAAAATTCTCAATAAAAATATCTGCAAACAGAATCCAAGAACACATCAAGTAGGCTTCATCCCAGAGATGAAGGGATGGTTCAATTTTATGTTAATTGATAAATGTAATCCACCATATAAAGTAACTGAGAGGAAAAAAAAAAAAAACATGATCATCTCATTAGATGCAGAAAATACCTCTGACAAAATCCAACACCCTTTCATGATGAAAGTTCTGGAAAGATTAGGGATAAAAAAGGATAAACTTTTATGTGGCCCTGAGTCATTTTCAAAGTGAGTTTTTAAGCTGGGCATGGTGGCACATGCCTTTATCCCCAGAACTCCTTAGGTCCTTAGGCATAGGCAAGCAGATTGTTGTGAGTTCAAGGCCATCGTGGTCTACAAATTTCATCCAAGACAGCCAGGGCTACATAAAGAAAACCAGTCTAAAAAAAAAAAAAAATCAGTTTTAAAAGGGAAAAACCACAACCAAGCAGGGGGAGAAAAAAAAAAAAAAGATCATTTTTCTAGATAGTGTGTTCATCCAAGTAAGAAGAATTAATTTTTGTTTTTGTTTCAATGTTCTGTCTAGATAGAAAGACAGAACATTTTAAGTGGATTGGCTGGGATTTAGGGTAGGTGAGCTCTTGGGGGCTTTCCAGCTTTCTGGGAGACAGGAACATAGCAGGGCATTGTGGTTTAATTCTAGCAGAACATACATTTATCTTTAACTCAAGCAGAACATGGATTTATCATCTATTGTCTTATTGTATGCATCAAGTACTGAATTACTGAATTGTAAGTAGAGGCTATTCTTGTCTCAGGCAGGTAGGGCCTGAGAACTTGAACTTTATTTTATCTTATGATCAAAATGGAGACTTAAAGACAAAATGGTTTCTGTTATGCTAAAGGCGAAAGTAACTACAGTTATGCAAAGGACTAAAGCAGTCACAATGAAGGGGCTAGGGTTATGCAAAAAAAGTTTACACTGATTACAACACTATGAACACCTGATTCTGATAAAGAATTCTGAAATACTCACTGGAAAAAAGATAGCATCGTCAATAAATGGAGCCGGTCAAACTGAATGGCTGCATGTAGAATGCAAATAGATCCATACTTACCACCCTGACCAAAACTTAGCTCCAAGTGAATCAAAGCCCTCAACATGAAACCAGACACACTGACCCTGACAGAAGAGAAAGTGGAGAGGAGCCTTGAATTATTGGCACAGGAAAAGACTTTCTGACATGAACACTGATAGTGCAGACACTAAGATCAACAATTAATAAATAGGACCTCATAAAATGTAAAAAGATGGGGGCTGGAGAGATGGCTCAGAGGTTAAGATCACTGGCTGCTCTTTCCAGAGGTCACGAGTTCAATTCCCAGCAACCACATGGTGGCTCACAACCATCTCTAATGAAATCTGATGCCCTCTTCTGGCGTGCAGGTGTACATGCAAAACACAACATTATACATAATAAATAAATAAATCTTAAAAAAATGTAAAAAGACTCTGAAAGGCAAAGTTCACCATCAATCAGATAGGAGAGGCAGCCTACAGAATGGGAAAAGATTGTTATTATTATTATTTTACCAACTTCATATCCAATAGAGGATTACTATCCAAAATATATTAACAACAATAACAACAACAAAACACAACACGAAACAAACAAAACAAAACATCCCAGGACATCAAGAAAACAAATAATCCAAATTTAAAATTTGGTGTACAGATCTAAACAGTGAATTCTCAAGAGAAGAGCCTCAAACAGACTTAAAGACAATGTTCAACATTCTTAGTCCTCAGGGAAATGCAAATCAAAACTACTCTGAGATTTCCTCTTACATCTGTCAGAATGGCTAGGATCAATAAAACAAATAGTAGCTCATGCTGGTTAGGCTGTGGCGTAAGGCGAATGCTCATCTGGTGCTAGTGGGAGTGAGTGCAGACTTGTACAGCCACTATGGAAATCAGTGTGGCAGCTCTTCAGGAAGACGGGGATGCATCTCCCTCAAGTTCCAGCTGTATACTACTCTGGAACATATGCCTAATGGAGGCTTCATCCTACCACACAAACATCTGCTCAGCCATCTTCATTGCTGCTCTTCTTGCTAACAGCCAGAAATTGGAAACAACGAATGGATAAAGTAAGTGTGGTACATTTGCACAATGGAATATTACTCCCTTAAAAAGAATGTGATCTAAGAAAGTAATCCCAGCACTCAGGGAGGCAGAGGCAGGTGATCGCTGTGAGTTCGTGGCCAGCCTGGTCTGCAAAGATAGTCCAGGACAGCCAAGGCTACACAGAGAAACTCTGTCTTAACCCCCCCCACCCCCACCCAAGAAATCTAGCCAACAGGTCCAATACCCTCTTCTGGCCTTGATTGCTACTCTCCCCCACCCGAAACAAATATTTTATAAAAAGAAAAAAGAGAAAAAGAAAAGAAATGATGGTTTCAGAAGACTTAGCAGAATGATGTAATTTTTCTCAGCAAAGTCCTAGGGGGCATCTCTGTATCTTTAAAAGTCAGCTCAAGACCAAGCATACTGTGGAATAAACAGCTAAAACTTGCTGCCTCTGTCATTTGAGGGAAGGTGGAAGTTCGAGAGGAGGTTTTCCCCAGGGAAGAGTACACCAACTGGTTGTCCAGGGCCAAATGATCAGCCCTGAGAGGGGAATATAGGAGAGTTTGGAGGGAAGAAAGGGAAGGGGAAGGGAGAAATGTGATTATGTTAATTTCAAACTGCAGGAGCAATTTTCTTTCCCTTCCTTCCTTCTTTCCTTCCTTCTTTCTTTCCTTCCTTCCTTCCTTCTTCCTTCTTTCCTTTCTTTCTTCTCTCTCTCTTTCTTTCCTTTCTGTTTGCTTTTCAAAACAGGGTTTCTCTGTGTAGCCTTGGCCTCCCTGGAACTCTCTTTGACCAGGCTGGCCTCCAAATCACAGAGATCCACTCACCTCTGCCTCCGGGGTGCTGGGTACCTCCCGGTACCTCCGGGGTGCCACCACCACCCAACCAGAATAATCTTCTATACATTCAAATGAACTGTTTGTAAGACAAACTAAAATCGCAGCAAATAAAGCATGCCTTTTGTTCTTTTTATTTTTAGTATTTTAGTATTTTTTGTTTGTCACACAGCGTCTCTCTCTTTTTTTAATGGTTTATTTTTATTTTATACGCATTGGTATTTTTGTCTATATGCATGTCTGTGTCAGATCCCTTAGAAGGAGCCACAGATAGTTGTGAGCTGCCATGTGGGTGCTGAGAATTGAACCTGGGTCCTCTGGAGGAGCAACCAATGCTCCTAACCGCTGAGCCATCTCTCCAGCCCAAAGCATTCGTCTTTGTTCTCTCATGCTCATTTACTAAATTAGAGGTTTTGGTTTTTCAAGACAAGGTTTCTCTGCCTTGGTTGTCCTGGACTAGCTTTGTAGACCAGGCTGGCCTCCAACTCACAGAGATCCACCTGCCTCTGTCTCCCAAGTGCTAGGATTAAAGGCTTGTGCCACCAGAAATTTGAGTTTTAGAAGGCTCATTCTATCTGTCTGTAGAGGAAGGATGGTTGGGACTAAGCATAATTTGGCAGTAGGGAGATGGAGAGGCTTGGAATCTGGGATTGGCAAATGGTTGAGTGGGAAGGTATTTAGGAGGTGGGAATAACAGGATTAAAGTGTGTGATGAGTAAGAGAGGATTCAAATTGACCCTACTGTTTGGACTTGGGTTTCCTTGGGCCAGTGGGGCCACTACTGGTTTAGGAAGAAGAGCAGGTTTGGCTGGAAAATAAAGTCAGGGCAAATAGAACTAGAGTCGTCTGTCCATTAGGCCTTCAAGGCAGGTGTCCAAACTGCTGATAAAATATGGGTGTGGCGCTTAGAAGAAAGGCCTGGAGGGAACAGAAGAAACCAGGGAGAACTCTATGTAAAAATGAACAGTAGGAACTACAGAGGTCCCTTGATCTTGGGCCTGCAGGGTGTGGCAATAAGGCAAACTAGGGGTACAGTACCACGTGAAGACCTAGTAGCGCAGCGGCTGTTCAAAAGCTACCGTAAACCCAGGGGGTAGAGGGCAGGGCGGCCCCTCCCGGCCCCTCCTCCCGGCCTTCCTCTTGTCCTCTTCATCCACTGGGTAATATCAATGTCGGTCAAGGGCCCGCCTCCGTAGATAAGCCAATCAGGAATGGCGGGAGGGAGCTTTCTTTTAGGGCTGGTTCCCTGACTAGAGGCCTCTCCAGGGAAGTAAACCCGGTTGCAGCAACCGCGGAGCAGTGCTCAGGATCTGGAGCTGCGGCGACCCGCCGAGTGTCGGCAGAGCTAGCTGGCGAGGAGAGGACGAGGGTGCGAGGTAAGGAAGGGGACAGATGGGGGTGCGGACATCTTCCTCAGCCTGGCCTACAGGCGCCTCAGGTGATGGGGCGGAGAGATGAGGTGAGAGGGCGGGATGAGCCGGTCCCCGGTCATGGTCACCCCACTCGCGCGCACGCGCCACGTGGGCCCGCGCGCTGGTGGAGGAGTCGGCTGCTTAGCCGGTCCCCGGGACCCGTGAGCGCGCGTGAGCTGGACGTCGCAACAGGATTCCTGTCTTCCAGCTTGGAAAGCCCAGGCTCCGAGTCACTAAATGGGAGCTGGGAGTTCTTAACTAGAACCTTGACATCCAGCTAAGAAAGCAGGAGACTCTTGATTTCTTTAGGGGCGCTAAGTTCTGCCCCATCGGAGGCGAACGGTTTTCATTGAGCTGGGCTGCCTGTCCTTACTGCAGGGTCAAGGGGCGTCCGAGGCCGTCTGTCCTGCCTGACCTCATCCGCCCCAAGTTCAGCGGGGTGGGTCCTGCCTTTGGAAAATCAGTTTGACAGTGCGTTTATAGCCTTTGACCTACTGGTTTTGGAAATAAGGAAAAAGTGGCAGCAAAGGCCATGCGATTTGGTGTTTAGTAAGTACCAGGTTAGTGGAAACAAACTCCAAGTCCCAGTAATTGTGTGTGCCATGGCAAAATCCATAAATTGTACAGTCACTGAAAACGTTGTCTTTTTAATAGAGGTCATATTCAATGTAGTTGGTCCAATGATATAAAAATCTGTAGAAAATGGCTAGACGAACGTACCGCAGTGACAAAAATGGTGACTCCCTCTTGTTTTTCGAGATAGGGTTTCTCAGTGTAGCTGGCCACAAACTCTGCCTGCCATTGCGTCTGATGTGATGGGATTAAAAGCGAGCACCACCCACTCCCAGTCCTGACTGGCCCAGAATCATGCACAAAACAAATCTGCTATTTAGATCAGGCTGGCCTTGAACTCAGAAGAGATCAGCTTGCCTATGCCAAATTCTGGAATTAAAGTTGTGATAGAACGGACTGGTGTGGTGCATGCCTGTAATCCTAGCAGAGGCAGGTGGAATCTAGAGGCCAGCATGGTCTACAAAGTGAGTCTAGGACAGCCAAGGATACACAGAGAAACCCTGTCTCGAAAAAAATAAAGTCATGATAACACCATGCCCAGCCTGGAAGTGTCATATTTTATTAACTCTTTACAAAACTGTATGAAATTTTGGTCTGGTACACACCTTTAATCTCAGTACTGAGGAGGATGGAGCAGACAGATCTCCGAGTCTGAGGACAGCCTGTTCTATACAGTGAATTCCATGCCAGGCAAGGTGAAAAAGTGAGGCCCTGTCTCAGACACCAAAACAATGACAACAGCAAAAAGCACATCAAAACTTTGTGAGAACAGCACTCGGTGGCTGTGAGTCTAGTTACTCTGGAATCTGAGACAGGAGGATCTAAAGTTCAAGGCCCATTCTCAAAAGTATGAAAAGAGGGCTGGGGATGTAGATCAGGGTAAAACCAGATTGAAGAGGCCTTGTGTTCAATTCCAAATCAATGCACAAATCAAAACCAATAAACAACCCAACCATGTGAGACCGGTAGTACTCCCATTCTACTAGTAATAAGTGCCGTGGAGGCAGACTCACAAAGCAACATGTCTGTTAAAAGCTCCTGTCGCTGTGACTCTGTGTACCAGGTACAGGGCTGGACTCAGGATAGCTGCCGGTAAGCAGCTACATGTCTGGAACTTGCGGGGTGGATGGATCTCTTGGGGGGAAAACTTACATACTGCAAGGGAGATTGAACCCGGGAGCTAGATAGTAGCCGCTGGTCCTAGAAGGGGTTTGGAAAGGAGGCACAGATTAGGTGGGAGGAAGGCAGGAAGCCCTTATTGGTGCTATATAATGAGAATATTAACAAAGGAGATGTTTTAACAGTCAGTATTTTTAATAATTTGAACTTTGAAGCTTTTATGAACTCTTAATTTTCAGGCTGAAAAACAACCCACCTCCGCTTGCCAGTTTTCAGGATGTCAAGGACCGTGTCCTATTGGCTCTTCAATTCTGCGAGGAATCGTATTGCTGTATTACGAGAGGGTAGACGCTTCCACTCCAAGGATGCCACGAATAGGAATCAGCTGAGATGGAGGCTCTCTTCTCTGGCATCGCCAACCATAAGGAGCGGTTCTCCATGTGGTGGTTTTTCCCTGAGGAAAGCCTACAGACACACCTCAACCGAGGAAGAGGATTTCCACTTACAGCTCAGCCCTGAACAGGTCAGTGACCTGCTCCGAGCTGGTGAGTCATCCCACAAGGTTCTTGAGTTCAACAGTGGAGCTCCAAGTTCAGTGTTGAGGTTTGAGAGCAACCAGTTGGCTGCTAATTCCCCAGTGGAGGACCGGCAAGGTGTGGCTTCCTGCATGCAGACGAACGGGCTGATGTTTGGTATTTTTGATGGACATGGTGGCCATGCCTGCGCACAAGCGGTGAGTGAGAGGCTTTTCTACTACATGGCAGTGTCCCTGATGTCCCACCAGACCTTGGAGCAGATGGAGGAAGCAATGGAAAACATGAAACCCCTGCTGCCCATCCTACAGTGGCTCAGGCACCCTGGAGATAGTCTTTATAAGGATGTCACCTCGGTACATCTGGACCACCTCCGCGTCTATTGGCAGGAGCTTCTTGATCTGCATATGGAAATGGGGCTGAGCATCGAAGAGGCATTGATGTACTCCTTCCAGAGACTGGATTCTGACATCTCCCTAGAAATTCAGGCTCCCCTGGAAGATGAGGTGACAAAGAACTTATCTCTCCAGGTTGCTTTTTCTGGGGCAACAGCTTGCATGGCCCATGTCAATGGAGTTCACCTGCACGTAGCAAATGCTGGTGACTGCCGGGCTATCCTGGGTGTCCAGGAAGACAATGGTGCATGGTCATGTTTACCTCTCACCTGTGACCACAATACCTGGAATGAGGCTGAGCTGTCCCGGCTTAAGAGAGAGCATCCTGAGTCTGAGAACAGGACTCTCATCGTAGATGATAGGCTGCTGGGTGTCCTCATACCCTGCAGGGCCTTCGGGGATGTCCAGCTAAAATGGAGTAAAGAGTTGCAGCGTAATGTCCTAGAGAGGGGCTTTGATACTGAGGCCCTCAACATCTACCAGTTCACGCCTCCCCACTACTACACTCCACCGTATCTGACTGCCAAGCCTGAGGTTACATACCACAGGCTGAGGCCCCAAGATAAGTTCCTTGTGCTGGCCTCAGATGGCCTGTGGGACATGCTGGGCAATGAGGAGGTGGTCAGGCTGGTGGTGGGGCACCTGTCCAAGGTTGGTCTCCATAAGCCAGACCTGGACCAAAGACCAGCCAACCTGGGGCTCATGCAGAGCCTGCTGCTGCAGAGGAAAGCCAGTGGACTCCATGCAGCTGACCAAAATGCAGCCACGCATCTCATCAGACATGCCATCGGGAGCAACGAGTATGGGGAAATGGAGCCAGAGCGGCTGGCCGCCATGCTGACATTGCCGGAAGATGTGGCCAGGATGTACCGGGATGACATCACTGTCATGGTGGTGTTTTTTAACTCGGATTCAATTGATACATATTATAAGGAGGGTTAAGAATGAGCCCTGTTGCTAAGGCTAGCATGAATGCCCTTTAAAACATTTTCAGTTACTCCTAAGTGAGCAGTTCAAACGTTTATTAAAGAATAGGCAGATATAGGTTACTGAGTAATTCACTAACAGAAGAAGACGGGAAGCCAGCCTTGGTGAAAAAAAAAAAAAAAAAAAAAGCCAAAACAGCAGTGATTTTTGTCCTTGTGCATGGTCAACTGTTCTGTGCAGCAGACAGAGAATAAAGACTAAAATTAGCTTAGGCTCATGTAGCCCATGTCCTTCATAAAGACACTGTTGAACTGTGTCATTCTGTGCTTTTAAAGGATAAATTTAATCATGATTCTAAGAATAACGAACTTCAGAATCTTCTGGGATCCAGTTACAAAATTTACAGATGTGATCATTCTGACCTCTGTTATGCACGACTTCTAGGCTGTAGTTTTTGTTTTGTTAATTACGGAAGCCCAGCTTTACAAAGCAATCTTCAGGGCAGTTTTCTATGTTGTATTCTAACCTTCCTCTCTCTCTCTCTCTCTCTCTCTCTCTCTCTCTCTGTGTGTGTTTGATTTTTCTGTAATGACTGTGATAGTCTGTGCCGTTTGCATTTGCTGGTTAAGTTTATTTTAAAACCGAATCCTCCAACTTGCAAGCAGGACTGCCACAAGCTCGTTTGGGACCACTCAAAAGTTTTCTCAGCTGAGGATGAGAGGGGCTAAGGCCTCTGGGCTTGCTGAATTTAATTGTGCAGCTATTGTTCCCGTCTGTTGAGTCCTACCTCTGAACCTTTGAGCTATACTGGGAGGTAATTTCTCTCTAATCCCTAACTCCTGGCCTTTTTGCTTAGTAAACTGTTCCCCCGACCCCCGGCTTAGCCACAGGGTTATTCATTTTTCTGATTATAGCCTGCCTGCAAACACTCTTGATTCCACCTGACACAATCTTACCCCTGCTATGCTGTCCAGACTCAGCCTGCGGTTACTGAAAGATCTTTTTACCGTGTTCTCTCTTCCCAAGGTTGGAAGGAAGGAGATGGTGTGATCAGGTGGTAGTTGTGGACATTTAGCGGGGATGGGCTTCTTCAGTGGTTTGTGGACTTAAGATTTCTGCCCGAATCTAGAAATGTGAAAACAAGGTCCTAGGAGAACACCCAGGAGCCCAAGGCTTTCTCTCTGCACAGCGGGAGGGAGGGGGGAGACTTATCAGATGGGACACCTGCCTCTGCCTGTTATGAACTGCCATTGCTATGCCTCAGGGCCTGGACCATATTTAGTAGGAGAGTTGGGTGAAAATTAAGATGCATCTGCTCACAGTCCCTCATGGGCTGCGTGCAGTCTTTGGTGTTTGTTTGAAAATTAACCCACATGAATCCTTTTTAGGGGATACATTTCCTCCTCTCTTGGGTGGCTGTGGCATTGAACAGCAGGAAATGTGTCCCAAAGTGGAAACTCAAATTTTTTTTGGCAGTTTTAATTTCCTGTATCTCATCGGGGCGCTGTGGGCGAAGCTCCTCAGCTGACCCCTGGTCGCTCACTGCACATGCCGTTCACACAATACGCAGGGTTGGCCCCCTGGGTTTTTCAGGTAGACATTCTGGCAAAAACATCTCAGTGAATTAAGGCTGCCAACCCCGGAGTCCTGAGTTCCATCCCTGGGACCCATGTGATGAAAGGAGTTGAAAGTTTGTCCTCTGACCTTTACATGTGCACCATGGCACGTCCACTCACACGAAATAAACAAACGGGGGGAAAAAACCAGCAGGCCAGCAGGGGGGGCGCTTTAATTGCAGCACCTGGGAGGTAGAGGCAGGCGGGTCTGAGTTTGAGGCCAGCCTGGTCTACAGTCCAGGGCAGCTAGGAAACCCTGTCTTGAAAAACCAAAATCAGGAAAAAAAAAAAAAAATCAGGAATGTTTTTGAACATTTTTTAGTGTATCTATTTAATGATACGGTTTCATGTTTAAAAAAAAAAAAAAAAAACTATTTTGGATTCTTTTGTTCTGAATCTGATCTCTTAAGATTTTTTTTTTTTTTACTGAAAAATAAAATGTAGGCATTTCTGCCACGAGGCACCTGTACCCACACGGGTCTGTTTACTGCGGCTCCTTTCTGAGAAGCCCACTTATGCCCTCAGGTGTGGCTTACCTTCTGAGTGCCTCTTTCTTTTAACCCTCATGCTTGCATGTCTCCTAAATAATAATAGCCCCCCCCCGCCACCTTAGAATAAATAAATGGGTGTGGTGGCCTATGCCTTAATCCCAGCACTTGAGTGGTGGAGGGAAGAGCTGAAGTTCAAGGTGGGTACGGGAGACCCTGTCTCCAAAAAAAATAGTGGCACTGTGGCCAGCCTAGGCTGCACAGTGAGACTTTGCCTCAGAAACAAAGCGTAACCCCAAACGTGATCACTGCTGTGCTAGACTGATGGTTTAGCTGTTTGAATGGAAGATACTATTTGATATGTTTTTTTTGTCCTTTGCTTTTTGTGCCAGCTAAACCCAGGAGTATCCTTGGAGTCTTAGCTGGCATTCAGTGTCTGACTCTTATATTGGAGGCTAGAATGGGTCATAAAAGGTTCTGATTCAGTTGGCTTATCCTGGAGTTGATAGAACACAGACCTCCCATCTGTATCTCCGAGTGAGTCTGTGTTTTCTCACTGTCTGATAGATGTCCCTGCTTTCCAGCTGAAACAGAGAGAAAGAACAAAGGCTGGCTTATGCTCTACCTTCTCTGCCTCTGTGAACTCAGCTTTTCTGTGCCGGCTCCAAGGAGTGTTGCCTTCTGGTTACACACCAATGTGTCTGTCTCGCAGGCCATGGGTCTTGGCAGTGGGCCCCTTGAAGCAAATGAGCTTTTGCTTTGGGATACTGAAGTTATAAAGGAGATTCATGGACCTTGTCAGTTCTTCCAAAGCTCTCATCACTCCTTTCATATAGAGATTTCAACTTTAAGACTTTTAAAGTTTAAATAATGAGATTGACCATTTAATATTGCAGATGTAACTTTTGAAGGAAGTATGTCTTGGTGCTTAAACAGACACTTATGATTTGGGATAAGAAACAGATGGAAATGATGTAACTTAGATATTTGCTTTATGTGTAAATAGTACAGTGCTATTGATCTCTGAAGTTAGTAAACCTATAGAAAAGGCTAGTTTTGATTGTATGTTAATAAGATTCAGTTTTCTGAGATGTTATTTGTAACATTAAAGTTAATTTATTATAATGTAAACTTTAAGATGTTGTAATATGTGGACATTTTCCCCAGATGTACATTTGGCTTAAAAGCTAAAAAGCTTTTAGGCACACTGGACAAAACTCAGTTGAGACACAATCAAGTTGGTAACTTCTAAACATAGGTAAAATGTAGACAGCGTGATCCTCAGATAAGGGGTATAATTATGTAGAACAGCAACAAAATGAATTCAAAAGGAGGCTGGTTCTCCCCTTTGACCGTCAGTTTTTGTTCTTCGTGGGACAGCTAGTGGGATGCCGTAATCTCTAAACCAGAATATTATGGAATGGAGCCATCTCGGTTTCACGTCTTTGCAGTGCTGTGCGTGTGTGTAGACGCATCCCACTAACTTTGGATTCGAGGATCAAAGCCAGTGTTGCAGTTTGTGATGTAAACTATCGTGTGTGTGTGTGTGTGTGTGTGTGTGTGTGTGTGTGTGTGTGTGTGCGCGCGCCTGTTGGGGGAGGCATGTTTAGGCTACTGTGTAACTGTTTCCTGAGCCATCTGAGGTCCTGTCCCTTCTTCCTTTGGTTCTTGGTGTCTAACTAGCCTCCTGTAAGGTATTTCTCACTAAGCATTTTCTTGGAACAATCATTAACCACGTTCTTTAATAATCACTGGCATTTGTGTGTATTTTAAGCTGTGTACAGGTGTTCTTCTCTGACACTGATTTTCTAACCTTTGAGGATACTTAAGTAGAACTTTTAAATAAATGAGGCAAAATGAAATTTGGTTTCCTTTAGTTTGAATGTTTACTTTTTTCTAGCCCTTATGATGTAAGGCCAACTTTTGTTTCAGCATTTTTATCTGATCAAGGAAGAGTTTGGGCTACTTAACAGTCTGCTCCAAAGAGAAGCATGGCAAAAAGAGGAGCATTAAAACTTTTAAGTAGCTGCCAAGCTCACAGGGAATACTTGGTTATTTTTATTTGTTTTTAATATTTTATGTTTAACCAAGTGTGCACATGTGTCTCCATGTGGGTTTGTCATGTGAGTGCAGGTGCTCAGGGAGGCAAGAAGAGGGCATTGGGTCTCTTGTTGGAGTTACAGAAAGTTGTGAGCTGCCCAATATGTGTTAGGAACCAAACTCGGGTCTTCTTCAGGAGCACACTCAATACTGAGCCATCTCTCCTGCCTCTGGAGTACTCATTTACGTAAAACTGAGAAGAAAAAAGACTGAGGCACTCTAGGCCAGTGCCTGCTAGCATTTCATAGTTTACTGAGACCCTACTTGTGAAAACAGTTTGTGTTAGTAGCATAAAGCCAGTTCTGGGGAAAAAAATCTGGGCTGCTGTCTCCATGGAACGGAAAACCCCACTCCAAGATTGCACCAGGGCCTCAATGCGCCTAAAATGATACTGTTCAGTGGGTCTCTATAAAAAGTGCAGGGACGGGCTGGAGAGATGGCTTTGCAGGAAAGGCCTTGGGTCCACCTGCCTAGCAAGCACTGGGGATCTGAACCCGGGTTCAGTTCCTAGCACCCACAAGGTGGTTCGTTATCACCCATAACTACAGTTCAAGGGGATCCTATGCCCCTTTCTGACCTCTAGCACACACATCTACATATATGCATCCAGGAAATCACTCATACGTAAAAGCTAAAATTTTAAATGCATATACAAATCTTTAGCCATTAGTATTTTAGCAAGGGCTGGGTAATTAAGATAGAAAAAACATTTTGCTGTTTTTGATTTCTGTTCTTTTCGAGACAGGGTTTCTCTGTGTAGCCTTGGCTGTCCTGGGCTTGCTTTGTTGAACTCACAGAGATCCACCTGCGTCAGTCTACCCTAGTGCTGGGATTACAGGTGTTTGTCATTGTCCCTGGCTCAGAAAAGATGTTTTTGACAGACGTATAATGGCACTTACATATAAGGTAAATTTTGATGTACCTCATTTATAAAGTACAACTTGTGTATACATTGCATAATAATCAAGTCAAGGTAATTAGCATATCCATAATTTTTGATCATTTCTTGAAGAGGATTTGGTGAAGGAAAAGTTAGAAAAGGGAGTACTAATTTTTTTTTACCTTATTTTTTATGTGTACAGGTGTTTAGCTTGCATGTATGTATATGTACCAAGTATGTTATATGCCTGGTACAAGTGGGAAGTCAGAAGAAGGCATTGGGTACCCTGGGCCCGGAGTGACAGGTGGTTGTGAGCCATCATAGAGGTGCTGAAAACTGAACCTAGGTCCTCTGGAAGAGCAGCCAGTACTCTTAATCACTGAGCCATTTCTCCAGCCTAAGATTTTTTGTTTGTTTGAGACAAGTCTTACTGAGTAGCTTTGGCTGGCCTGTAACTTGCTATGTTGGCCAGGCTGGCCTTGAACTCATAGAGTTCCACTTGCCTCTGCCCCCAAGAGCATGTACCATGGTGCTTGGCAAGTGTTGGGGATCTGATGAGAAAAAGGAAAAGCATCATTATCTTTTTTCCCTCCTCTTCCTCCTTCTCTCTCCTTCTCCCTCTCCTTCAACATAGTAGGGACAGGCTGTGCTTGGAAAACTACGTGCCATCATGTTAGAAATGGGTATTAAATCAGGTCAAAGTATTGTCTCAGTACCGGTCTCTTAGAAAGGGATACAAACGCATGCACCTTTTGAAATTTTGGTGCAAGCTTAGAGCAGCTGCAGAGAAGAGGTCGGTGGTGACGAAAGAAGTCATAGAAGGCATTTCCCCTCCATCACTGCTGATAATAAAACAAGTTCTGTTAACGCCGACACTGCTTTGGCTATCAGGAATTAGCCCACATAGTCTCAGTGTACACATTCCAATGCCCTGTCCTTTTGGAACCTAGGAGTAGACATGAGCTGGAGAGAGTTCAGTATGCATGGGTGTGAGGACCTGGGCTAGATTTCCCAGGACCCCAGTAAGACCCAGGTATGAGGGTGAGCAGTTGTAACCCCAGTGTTGGGGTACAGCCTGGAAGATCCCTGGGGCTCACTTGACACCTGGTCTAGTGAGTGGAATTAGCTCCAGGTCAACCAAGAGACAGACAACCTGTCTCAGAAAACAAGGTGTGTGATTTCTGAGGAATGGCCTTTGAGATTGTCTCCTGGCCTTTGCACATATGCCTGCATCTACACCCACATAAACACCCAAGGGAGTGTGCATGCACACAAACACACACATGCACACACAAAGATAAGGAAATTTAAAAAATAAAATTACAAGAAAAGGGGAAAAAATAAAGATTAAAAAAAACCCACAAAAAGCAAAGAATCTTGTGTTTGAGACAGGGCCTCACTATGTTTCACATAGTGAAACTTGCTTTGTAAACCAGGCTAGCCTCCAACTCAGAGATCCACTGGCTGTTGCATTCTGAATGCTGGGATTAAGAGCCATCATACCCAACCCCCTCACTCCCCCCTTCCCCAGTTTCTTTTAGAGACAGGATCTTGCTAACTGACCTGGAACTCTAGATCCTCTCTCTGGAAGTTTTATTCTATTCACTTGATCTTACTAAATTCCTCTCAGTAGTCCCTAACCTTGGTGGCCTCCTGAATTGTCAGTGGCCAGATTCCAGATTTCTAGCTCCATCTGGGACTGGTGAATTTTAATTGACCGTTTGTTGGTATATCTTGGTGTCATTGGCCTCTGATCTTTTCTGCCTTCTCCATATATGTCTTAGTCTGAGCAATGGCCTGGATGGGGCAGCATGGCATAGTGAGGAGGTCAGGATTCCTCCTCTGACTTTCCTCACCAAGGGAATAAGCAGGCTGGAAAGTCTGCAGAGGAGCACCGTGGAGCCCTCTGTGTCTTTGTCCACAACTCCGCCTGCCTTTCCTAGATTCCGGAAAGCCTTTATTTAACCCCAGCTCCCACAAATAGAAAAACAGGAAGTTTTCCTTGGGCTGCAGTTCTGTTCACAGCACACAAGCCTTCTTGGGTGCCCCGAAGTGAGTCATTCAGGCTAGACAGGGGCTTAGAAGCTCATGATACTGGCCACACGGGACAGGGAAGGGCTATCCAGGGAAAGAAGCACAAACATTGAAGCCTGAGCTCTGACCCAGTGGGTTCTGGAGACTGAGCTTCTGATGCATTGATGAGGTAGGTGGGAGAGTCCCAGTGGTGTGGAAACAAAGCTTTCTAAGTGTGGCAGGGTGGACAAGGAGGGGCCCTCAGGTGACCTGTCAGGACAGAAGAGGATTGTGCAGGGTCGTATGAGTATGGTGTCAGGTGACAAAGGCCTGTCAAGTACAAAGCCAGCCTAGGCTGTAGGGAGCTCTGGCCGCGGAAGATCATTCAGAATGACCTAAGGACGAGTGTGGTGTCTCTTTATTAATTTGGGACAGAACCAGGAACCCTGCCCCAATCTCCGCTTCCCCGTGGTGTTACCAGGGCTGTTAGTGTCCGTCCTTGTTAGTCGTCTTCCCACTCCATTCTCCTGCCCCTCCCACATACTCACCCAGTTCCACCTCACCGACACGAAAGTTAGTTGTGAAATGAGTTAGGAAAGATGGCTGGATAGACACCAAGAGGAGAGGACCTCTGCAAAAGAGGAGGTCGGAGAATAGGAGAGAACAGCAAGCTGTGGCATGGCAGCAAAAAGAAGGGAGGAGTTTGGCTATGAGGACCTGGTCTCAGAGAACCTAGATATGGATGGGCGGAAATGGCCAATTAACCACAAGAAGCTTTACGTCGGGAGAGACAAGGGATGTACCATAAACTCACTTGGGTCTGGGGACATTGCGTGAGTCTAGATGGCGAGAAGAGGGCTGGCTGAAATGAAGCAGGATGATGGGCGGGGGAGGTGGTGGGACCGTCAGCCCCAAGGCAGTATGTCTCTGGGTTTGTGAGGATCCAAAGCACACTGGAGTTTCCAGTATTTTTGATGCCCCCAAAGAGGGTCAGGTGGAAGAATGGGAGGACTGGGTGTCTTGTGCCTACTTGGTGGCTGGGTCGGAAACTGATGAAGGTACCGGGATAGGAACCTCTAGCAATCAGTAGGGGGCGCTCTGCGTTGTGGACGCGGCAAAGGCACAGAGGCTGCCGGTAGGTGTCGCCACCCAGCTGTGCTGGTGTCTGCAGAAGCTGGCTTGAGGAAGGATGTCCCTCTCCTCAGTCTGAGCTGATGAGGTCCTGAGTCCCAACACTCCTGTTTATCAGCGTCTCCCTGCAATGCAGCCTGGTATACCTTCAGGAAGCCTTACAGCATTCTGGACACCTTTGGGGCTGGGACTAAGCGTGGACTGGGAGAAGGGCTCTCTCCCCAGCCACGAACACCCAGTCCTGCTTTGTGGGGGAAAGGGCTGTTGAGGTCCAGGCTTGCCAGCGCAGGTGGTAGGTTGCAGGTGCTATAAAGAGGCTGCCACCTGGACTAGTTGTCTTCAACGTACTTATTTTCCTCTGTGAATTACCCAACACCAACCAACCCCATTCTTATTCTTCTCTTCCTAGCCAGTCCTACAGCCTGCTGGCCTCTCTGCAATTCCTGCATACCTTTTGTCCCAGATTTAAGAGTAGTCCAAATCACTTTTGTGCTCCTCCAGTCAGCTGCAACTATCACACTGGTCAAATCTTATCTATTGCTTTTCTGCTCCATGCCATGATCCTTCGCCTAGACTGGCTTCCCTCTATGCTTCTCTCCCCATTCGTGGACAGTGTTTCTAGAATGTTTATCAAGGCTTTGGGCTTGCTGTTCCCCCTAGTTGTTACACCTGGCACTTTTTTTCCCTTTTCTTTCTTTTTTCTCTCTTTCTCTCTCTCTCTTTCGTTCTTTCTTTCTT